AGCTGCTGCTGGGGGTTATAGGCAAAACATTGTTTCCTTATCACTTGATAGAAACAAATCTGGCAAAATATTGATGTGCATGTTGCTTTACATCTATCTTTGTCATTATTCATAGCTACCCCCACCCATAATGCTGAATTTCCCCAAGTGCCATCTGTCACTATCGTCTGTGATTAAAAAAGAATAATTAGAAATTGGTTGCAAGATTATGTACAGCATCTGTGGGTGCAGTAGCTGTGATAAAACCATCCTTGCTATTAATTTTGATTGCAAAATCCTACAATGGGTAGAAGTAAAGAATAATCTTCCTCCCATCATAGCAGCAGATAGCTGAATTAATGAATGTAAGATACACCTGCACATAAAATACACGTCAATGTACATGGGTATTTAAGATCTGCTTTATTCTTGCAGGTTTTTTTTGTTTCATTAATATACAGTAAAATTCAAGAGGCCTTCATTAAGTCTGTAATTCAATGGCAGATTGGCCTACTGTGGAAAAAATTCAGAATACCATAGCTTTTATTAGCACTTTAAAAATTGCACCAAATGAAAATTGACAATTTTTGCATTTTCTTTTTGAAAATACAAAGATGCTCATTATGATTTTTCTGCTCCCTATTTATCACACATATATCAACTCCTATGTGATTCATTTAATTCCTTTAATATGGAATTCACTTCCTTTAATATGGAAAGAAGACTTGAGACAAAGAATTTGAGAATTTTTGAGTATATTATTTTAAATGTGTGTATGATCTTTTAATGGAGAAATCCTTTCCTTTGCACTGAAGGAGCTGGAATGGAAAGAGAAGAGTTATAGTACCATCTCTGACAATATATGAGTGTAAGCTTTACTGTATTTTTAGACCAGATCCTAATGATTAAGTAGTCAGTCTCATCAAGTGGCTGTGCCATAACTTCTAATAGTGTAGATATAATCTATACTTTTTAAGAAAAACAGAAACATAAGGGTATTAGCTTCATTAAAAAAATAATGCTGTTTGCAGAAGTTTTCACATATCTCTTGTAGTAGTGGATCCCATACTTGTAGACCTCACATTGACAAAAATGTTATTATCAAATTACTTTGAAAAAAATTTAATGGTGGTGGTCTGCTCTTGGTCTAAATGTTACTTAGTCCCTTTGGTTTCTGAATAAATTCTGCTGTGAATAAAAGTGGGTGGTCATACATAAAGGTATGTAAACCCATAATTCTTTATAATGGCTAGGACCAAATGTGCACCTGCTCTTTCTGGAATAAAGACAGTGGTACAGATTTCAGGATTAGCAGGTGTAAGAATCGAGGACTTGAACCTCTCACTGATGCCCTTATTACTTCATAGATTAAATCAAAAATACTTAACTCTGAGCCCTTCTCAATTTCATCTGTATCCTGGGCTAAAGTGTCATAAAAATGGATCTTTTTTTCCTCCTATTTAATCATCTCAGGATACCACAGGAAAGTCTAATGTTCTATAAGAACTGAAATAAAAACTTAGTGTACATTTTTCCCATCAAATGAAAGGTACACAAAGATGATTAATTCCAAAAACCTTGGAGTGTTGCACTGTGTGCAAATAATGTTTGTTTGAGCACCTAAAAGTGGTGTAACAGTAGACATAGGTTAACTCTAGCAAACTTTGGAAGCAACTTTCCAATAGGTTTTTTCACCAGGAAAACCTATTTAACTTCTGAAAAGTAAGTTAAGTGAGCTTGGGAAAATATTAAATATTATGGTTCATTGGCTGCTTCAGTTTGTGTTGCTTAGTCATAAAGAAACAGGTGTATGTAGTTTTAGACCTTTATTCGAGTCATTAGAGCATGCATGCCAAATTGAAATGTATTTCATTAAAAAAATCAGTTCTATCTTCAAGTGATCTTTTTGTTCAGAAGTAAAAGTTTATATTGGCTATAAAATGAGCCCAGATTTAGTGTTTCATTTATCAGACTCATTAGCCCAGGAGCAGTAATCCTGTGAGGTATCTGAAACATTGCTGTAGGTACAGCAGTCTCTTACAGTCAAACCCAAACCAAGCTCTGGGAAAGTGCTACTGCTGGGTGAGAACCTTGAGTCTGCAGCAACCTCCAGAGCCAAAGGAATTTTGACTTCAACAGGTCAGAGGAGGGATGTGCCGGTACTTGGGATTCAAGGGAGTTTTCCAGCTCCAGAGAGGAAAGGCTGAATTTAAATGACTAACTGCTGGATATCCCTAGAGAGGAGCTATCATGGGAAGTAATGAGCCACAGAGGAATTTGGGAATTCAGTTTGTGGTGTGTAATAGGGATGACTGTGAGGTTGGGCCAAGGCAGGGATGTAACTTGTGTTTGCTGCCCGGAGCCCTTATCAACATTCAGATGTGATGAAAAGTGCTGTTACCTCTTATTTCTTTTTCTTTTAATCTTCTAGTTCTGAAGGATACTTAGCTTTCTCCTTGTTCTTTATTAGCTTAGCTAATGGTGTTTGAATGAATGGGGGTCAGTAATGATGGGGTTTGAAATGTCTTGCAAGGTAGGCTTCTTTTCAGAAGGTAGAGGCTGTAAGACACATCCCCATAGCAGGGAGTTCTCCTTCAAAATAAGTTGGATTTTTATGGTGGTATTTGAGTTCTGTCATTGTATGTGAGAGCACATGGATCTGCCATTTCCTGGGAGTTTAGAGTCCCAACTCTGTATGAGAGAGATTCAAAGTCTTCTCTGACTTGAATAATTCTACCATGAAAGTAACACAGCTGTGTTTGAAAATAGGCCAGATGAAGAGTGATGCTTTTTCCCTTTGTTCTTTCCTCCCCAGTGTGTTTCCCAAGGCAGAACAGGAAAGGCTGGTTTGCAGCAGGCAGCTGAGGACAACTGGGGCTTGGCTGGTACAAACCTTGTAGCAGTTCTGGGTAACCCGGCCAGACCCCATAACCTCAAGTCTTTGTGTAGGATTAGAGGGGGGATTTCTGTCAAAACCTATCAATAAGATTTCAAGAATAATAACAGTGGTTGTAAATTTTTCCTCCCTTAAAAAAAAAAATGCTTTAACTGTATAAAACTCTCTCTATAATGTTAAAATTAGCTGTAACACCTTTCAATTATCAGTCCTAAGTGATTTTAAAGTTCCAATTGACTATATTAATACTTGCTAACTACATGAAAGCACTTAATTTTAAATTTCTAATGTAATGTCTTTCCAAGTTTTCTTTGATTTTGTGTAGTTTAAGCAACCAGTAAGCAGCTTTAATGCTGATTTGTTTTCAATGCTAGGTCTGTCTGTAAATTAGGACTAAATGTAAATCAGAAATACAGTAATATAATTGTCACATAAAAGATTTTATAGTCAATAAACAAGAGCACAACTGTGAAATATGGGAACTATTTTAGAAGGTTTTTCCTTTGAGAGTAGAGGCTGATATAGATTGGAGAAGCAAGTGCTTCCTCAATCCCCTGAGTAACCACTTCAGGAGTAGCCCTGTTGCTCACTTTGCAAAGTGACCCTGCATATGTAGAGTGAGATCTGTTGAGCTGCATTGACTCTGCTGTATCTATAACAAGACTGCAATTTTTGCTTCATTTTCAGGCTGTTGGCATGTTCACATTATAGCAGCACATATTGAAAGAGCACTTGATGTGTTTCATGTGCTCCTTTTCAATGTCATCCTTAGGTGAATGCATGGGATCTGGAGGTGCTGGGCCTGTGACCAGTGTGGCCCAGTTAAACAGAACTATTCTCACTGTGTGTGATGGAGATGCACATTTCCCATCAGTGCCAGCTCTGAGGCTGGCCTGGGAATGAGTGTATCTGCTCCTGAGCTTTACTAATGCTTGGTCTCTCATATATTTCAGTGTATGGCAAAGCCAGCTAAGAGCCTTTACAGGTCACAGTGTGGATCATACTCAGCATGTGCAGGCTCTGAGCTCAGAGCAGGACAAGCCCCATTGCTTTTAAGGCTTCTCATCATGCAGCATGCCAGGACAATGGCTCTGTGGGGAAAATGGCTCCATGTTTGGCAATGCACAGGACATAAAGCAGGAGCAAGATGCATTTCAAAGAGACTTTCTGCCTAATGTTTATTTGAAATCCACAGACTCACTTAATCAAAGAAGGAAAAGTGAATTGAATAGGTTCAGTGTTCATGGAGCAAGTAATTAACTATTGGTTTTCTGACAAGATCAAACTTGATGGCCACCTTTGAATAGCAGCAGAAAAAGAAACTGACTTGATTAATTAGACCTCAGGAGTGCCTTCCTCATCACTGTTACTGTCAGGGAGATGGGAGTCAAGGTGGGCAGAAAGAAGCAGTAGGATGCAATACTGCAATCTCTCCTCAGAGAGCAGGGACTTAATTTCAGGAAAGATTGGGAATGCAGTGAGGGCATTCCCATAGAGGAGCTTTAAACCTGCTAAGGGCAAAGCTTGAGAAACAGAACCCAGTGAGGGCATTCCCATAGAGGAGCTTTAAACCTGCTAAGGGCAAAGCTTGAGAAACAGACCCAAAACACCACATTTTGTCCCTATTGTTCTTTTGATTATCCATCATGTTCCATATCAAATAATGCTAATAAATTAGCCAGAGCAGGGGGCTGCAGCCAGTGGCTGCTCTGACCCCCTGGGCAGAGGCTGTTTTGGGAGATGTTACTGGTGCTGCTTCTGCTCCCTCTACCCTTTCCTATGCACAACTCTCAGGACAATTTTTTCCAAAATTATTTTTCATCCCTTATTAGTAAAAATGAAGCTTTTGAATATAGCAATTTTGTAATATAACTTTTCATCTTTCTCATCCACCTTCCTTTGCTCTATGAATTAGGAACTTTTAAGTTTAAAAGCAGTAAATTTAAAAAAAAAAATTGTACTCCTGATATTTGCTTAATTAGGCTTCTAAAAATACAGTACTAACTAGTAATATGTTTTTTGAATAAAGTAAGTCACAATTCTTTAAAGTTAATATCTTTTTCTGGGATTCCCTGCTATAATTCAAAACTTTACTTCATTTATTTTTTCCTTTGCATTTTTCCAGATGTGCTCTGGTCTCACACTTGTGCTGAAGTTCAAGGCAAGAATACCAGTAAGGCAGGACAGGAATCACCCTGGACATGTGTGTCCCAACCCCTGTAGCCACAACAGCACCCTGGTGGCTGCTTTCTCCACCTGCATGTTTCTCAGCATCTGCCTTTTGTGGCTCTCCAGTGGCTGCACTGTCACTTTATTCCCTGTGAAGTTTGGTCCTTAACACATCAGTGAAGCTCAGAGAGTTTTATTCCCTGCTAGAAAAGTGTTCACTTGACAACCTTTAGGGAAACTGAAATTAGTGAATGCATTTGATGTCCACACTCAACTGCTGTTTCTTGGGATGCTCCTTTTCTGTTTCATGAGGGCCATATCCTGCAATTGGGTCTGCTGTGGTGTGCATACCAATATACTCATTATGTATATCCTTTTCTATATGGTTGTATGTGTTGCTGACAAACCTTATTTGCTCTATATGTTTTGGTTTTAAATATGACAGAAGAGAGAGAGCATGACAATTCTTGTAACCTTTGTTAGCTACTTGGTGTGTCTAATTTTTGCAAATAAGCTGGATTACAGAAAGCAAAATTTAACATTTGGATGTGCTCAAACTAAAAATGTTATGTCTTCTCATTGGTAAGGCCCACTTTATAGAGGCTGTACCTTGAGTTTCTCTACAGTTGAAGTCCACAGACAATAAGCTCTTTTGTGTCCAATCTGGCTGAAATGCATTGAAAAAGTTGTATTCCTTTTCTGCTTCATTAACCAATGGAATAAAAGGTTGCTGTTTATAGCATAAGTTCAATACTCGGTTTCTTCTTGGCAAATTGGTGATGAGATGAGGAAGGAGCAGCCCTTCCTTTGAGCTCTTGCTAAAGCAAAGAATCAGTTATAGACACCTCTCCTCCAGGTTTAGAGCTGCCTCAAAGTGATGGGGCAGCAATATAGGGCTAAATGTGAAATCAGAATAAGTATTTAATAGTTTGTACATAACCTGGTATCTAATACATGATTAGTGGTGAAACAGCCAGAATTTTTTGATATTGTCTTCTGTATGTTCTTGTACCAGATTATAGAAACCCTAGAGTCAGTTAAACATCAGTCAGCCCCCATCACCATATCATCTCTTCTACCCATAAAATCTGTAAATTATTACAACACTGGGAGTTACAGTGTACAGGGGTCAAACCAATCGGGAATCATACAGGCAGCCAGGCTGAGAGAACCATCCCTGCCACCTCCTGCCCCTGGAGCAGCTGCTCCTTGCCCTCTACACTTGTTTATTCTATAGTCCATGTATCTCATGCATGGTTCACCGACCCTTCCAGCCAGGAGTGAAAAGACACTTTGGAGAAGTCCCATTTTTTCTTCATGTGCACAGAGCCTGCAGCACTCCTTAGGATTTTATCCTGTCCATTGGCTGCCATGCTTCATGAAGTATTCTATGGGTTTCTTGTGGCAGGCATGTTGTTTCTCAAGTAGTAACCCAAACTCATAATTTAATCTTGTCTTGCTCATGACTGTCCACTTGTTTCTCTAGCAGGACAGATGCAAGAGACATGTGTTGTTTCAGACACAGATATTTTAGCTGTGCTATGTAAACATAACTACATTTAGAAAGTTAACGTTGCTATAAAATCTGTGTTCTCATTTTTCTAATGTTTGAGCTGAAAATGTGATATTAAATTATTTATCTTTGCACTTAAAGTGTGTGTAAAAATTAAAAGCCACTGCTCTTTAGAAGCAAATATCAGTCCACTTTATCTTCCTGATGTACTGTAAACTGCACACACAGAAGAGGTTAGTAGCTGAATGGGGAATGATTATGAAGATGAATGAGTGGCCGGGAGACAGAGTCAGTTTAATGAGCTGAGCAGTAAGGAGGCTGTAATTTTTATAGATTAGCACTGAACTTGTCACTTACTGGCTGATACAACAACTTAGTTTCAGAATTACAGTATGTCAAAAATGAGCTCAACAAGCTCAAAACCAGTGGCAATCTGATTATCCCCCATGTAATCCAAATTACAAGTTCTCCTGGATCTGTATTACCTCTTCCTAATGTTTTATCTGTCACAGGTAAGAAGCAGAGCCCAGGAAAGTGCACAATTACTTTTGTGTCAGATAATTATTTTAAAATTCCTTTTCCTTCACCTGTAGTGACAGCACCTCTGAGCAGCTTCTCATCCCCAGGCTCTCTTGTGCTCAGTACCTCAACAGATGCCAACCCTGAGGGAAGCAGCAATGTGGGAAACAAAATTATGAATGCCCAGGACCACCACTTTGCTAGAGGTGCTGATACAGTGCTTTCTTTTGTTACCATCATTTTGTGCTAGTCTTTATCAACCTTCTGATACTGTGGGTTTGTCACCAGGGTTTTTTTTGGGATGTTCCCAGTACAAGAGTGCCTTTCTGTGCACTGGTTTGGAGGCAGAAGTTTGTTATGCCATAATACGTTATCAAAAACTGCTTGTTTTAGTGTCCCCAAGAAACCCTGCCTCCTGGTGACATTGGGTGCCTAGTGCCTTAACTGACCACAGGGACTGCTCAGGTTGGTTCTTGCCATAGTTCTGCTTGGTACACATGAGCAGAGGACCTGGTTCCTGATAGAAAAGTCAGGAGCAGGACAAACACCTAGGCTGGTTTGTTTTTTACAAACTGAGCAAAAGCTGTGAGCTCTCAGTCTGGCACCATTCCCAGAAGTGTTATTTTATAGGCATGGTACTTTTGATAATGGCATTGCTTCTGGAGTAGCATACAAGGGATAATTATTGTTCCATGAACAGATGAGAGTGTTGATTTCTCTCGCTCATAATTCACTCAGGCTGATTCGTTGGAAGAAGCAGTTTGGTTTTAGACAGTTCTGGGACAAGGGGGAAGGCCACATTCAGGTTTAAGGTAACAGGCATCCATAATTTTGGAGATGGCTCTTGTGTTCAGCTGTAGATGAGAATGTTGGGACTCTTTTGGGTGACCTGAATCCACTTTGAGCCAAGTCCAGGTCAAGAAATGGTGCTCTAGTTCTCTGTTCTGTGTTTCCCAGAGCTTTACAAAGAGAGTGTACATTAGCAGTGTGGGGGTTTTCATGCACCATTTTAAGATTTTGCTACTTGTGTCTGCTCTCAAGCCCTTCTCTTGGGTAGTTTACCTTTCCAATGAACACAAACTTTGTCCCAAAAGCTAAGTTTTCTCTTTATATTTACACTGGATATGTGCAGCAAAAGCAACAAAACCTGCTTAACCTGATAATTAGCTTTTCTTTCCTTAGCCACTCACCTGCCATTTCATGTAGGAACAATTTTTACCCTCTATATTTCCTTTTCTATCCATTAAATGAGAGCAGTGATTTTGTCTTCCTTTGCCCAGCCCTCTGAGAGTTTTCAACCACCACAGGATATTATGTAGGCACTATTACCACTGTGCACCTTACAAATAAACTACTTCACTTGTATCACATGCACTAACTCAGAAAAGCTATTTTTAAAATAAAATTGTCCTGCACTAGGTAAATGAGCTTCTTGATCAAACACTTTTACTGGCAGTTGTCAAAGACCAAAGCAAGATGGCTCCAGCCACCCTCAGACCCAAGTCCTGCCACTCTTCCCCCCTACACTCACCCTAACTGTTCAATTTGTCTTCTGCTGATGGATCATGCTAAAATTAGAATTCTCATAAGGGGTGGCTCCTCATGAACCTGCAGAAGTGACTACATGGCTCTTGACAGCTTTACACCAGCAGTACTTTTTAAAAAATAATTTTCCCATGTGCTTACTGAGCATTAGTTAAGTAACGATGTTAATCTGTCAGCTGAGGGATCTGAACAGAAAGTCCGATTTCTTTTTGTCTATGTGTAATCTTTTAAAATGTAAGTTCCTATTTTTAAAATGACTCATTAAAAAAAAAAAGCCAACCCAAAAGAACCCACCACATATTGACCTTTTAAAACCACTGTATGCCAGACCATCTTAAGAGATTTGGCACTGACGTTTTTTTCATAATGGAAGATTCATTAAGGTCAGTTAAAAATTTGCTGCAATAAATACAGAAGAATTAAGAGCTCATCAGCATTACCACAGCGTAATGTTCAGCGGATTGAATTATGTACTTAGAAAGATGAATCTGTGGCAATTGGCAAGCTTCAGGAGGAAAGCTGCATGGGAGCACGGACACGTGCATGCACATGTATGAGAGAAATGGCAGAGGAAATGAGGGGGGAGAAAAAGGAATTTTAAAAAGCAAACCATTATTTTCTAACCCAGTAATATTTAGAGAAGACATAATAAATACGTGCTTGTGCTCTTGCTCAGTGCCTTGTAATCAACGTTTCTGGTGGCAAACGCCGTGGTGTGACTAAGTATCTGTCCTGCTCTCCTCCCTGTGTGGGTGGACGCTGTCTTTTGAGCCATATTTTGTGTAAACAACAGTATTGATCATGATTGATGACGAGCCTGAGAGGGTCAGCCCTTTGCCTGCCCCCTGGAGTAATTGGGCTGCAGTTTGTTAAACAGTAAGAGAAAAGATATTAAAAATGAAGAAATGCACTAAGTGGGTGTGAGCTGTGTTCCCAGCTGCTCACAACATCTATTCAGTAATACAGGGAGCATCAATCTAATTCTCCACACTGGGTAGGAGCATAGCAAGTCAAAAGCCTTTAACAGGCAGTCCTCGCCAGCAAGATACAATGTTCAATTTAAGGAAAGATTGAAAAACATCAGTCTTCCCTTAAAACAATTTGTACAGAATAAATTTGGCACTTGCCAGCTATTCCCACAGAGAGAAACTGATAATAGGACAGAGAAAATCATGTAACATGATTTAGGATTCCCAGGATGGGATTACTTGTAATAAAACAGGAGGGAGGCGGGAGAAGGAAGAACTGACAGTAAGCTTCATGTTAATTCAGAATGCTCTCAAACCCCTGGAAAATCAGGGCTGAGGGTACTGGACACCTCTCAGCATCAAGATTGTCTGAATGCAGGTTCAGCACAGTTGCAGATACTGGCTCTGAGTGTCTCAGCTGGAGCTGCTGGGTGCAAGTTCTGTTAAAAACCTGTCCCCTAGGGCTTGTGTATCCTACAAAATAATCCTCTGATGAAAACTGGTGTCAGGTGCTGAACTAGTGCCTCACGTATCTTCCCTTTTCTCTTTCCTTCTGGCAAAACCATTTACAGGACATGTTCAGCTGAATCTATGCTGACTTCCCATATTAGTAATAATAAAAAAAAAATCTCTGAAGCTTTAAACTAGATTCTGCTGTAGGTCACCAAGGGCAACCCTTATATACCACCTGCCCCAGACATCTTTGGGGGATCTGAGCTGTATTATGCATGGAGATAGTGATGCTGGAAGGCATTTAACTGGCAAAGGCAGCATGGTGCTCTAATAAAGCCTTTTACCAAAGATCTGCTGGTTAGAGTACAGAGAGGAAGCTACCCTCAGAACTAAAGGTAATGAATTCATTTAGAAGATCTCATTGGTGTGGGCCTGTAACAAGTTCCAAAGTCCCGCAGGGCAGGAAGGCAAAACTTCTTCTCTTTTACAAGTTGCATGTCATTACCGGGCCTCTCGCAAGCGCAGAACTCAGAAAGAAAGGATGAAATTTAGTTTTCTCACCTTAAAATCATTAGTGTCCACTGGATTTAAAGTCTCTGCCCTCAGATCAGCTGTGCTCTGTGTGGCTGAGGAGCTGAATCCTATTGTGCCTTACAATAAAAAAACTTAATCTATATTCTTTGAGAGCTCTATTGTAACTAAAATATATTGCTCTTATTCTAATTTTAGTATGGTTTTAGTAGG